GTCCATGTTTTATTGTCAAAGCTTAACTGAACAAGATGTAGTTAGATGCCAATTGGCTCCCATGATCAGCTGCACCAGATTCTGAGTGCTCCAATTTTAGTAAATTTCGCCCAGGCATGTCATGTGACTGGCCAGAAGATATCAGAGGAAAAGATGAAATACTATGGGAGGACCTCAAGCATGGGGATGGGACTACTAAAGGGGGAGCACAAAGCCTGAGTTTTAATTCATTTAAAGGATAAGTTCACCTTTGGGAACATGTGATATGTTTCACCCATTTTTAGGGTGGGACAAATAACATGTTCCCACTGCAGCAGCCACTCCCTGACCCACTGTCTCTAGTGACAGCGATCTGGGGATCTTCTTCCCAAACTCTCTGTCACAATGTAAAAAAAGAAAAAGTGTCCATGAATGGCAGAATTCTGTGAATGGGAAGTACTGACAGCCTGTGTGGCTCGTCAGCTTGCAGCTCTCAATTAACCGCCACAGTGCTGTTGAGAGCTCTAGGTAGTTCATGGTTTCTTCCTGTCAGTGTGTAACTGCATACCCGTATGAGGTACAAGCAGACAGCTTACACTGCCATTCAGGAGTCTTGCACTGCACCCAAGATCTGCGGATCATGGGTGCAATGCTTTGCAGGCTCCAAGTAAAATAAATTAATCATTTTTTTTCTTACCTGCAAAAATATGTGCATTTATTATTTTTATTTTTTTTTTGCAAAGGTGACCTTTAACTGTAGGTTATTCATTTATACAACTGCAGTCAAAACTTATGGCAGTTTAGACTAGAATGGCTAAGGGTTAAAACCTCTGTCAGGTTTATTTTGCTTCCCCATCGGATGAATTTTCCTTTCAATTATTGCGGTGTTGCTGGGACAGAAAATGGGAACACAAACAGCAATTAAGGAACTTTTTATTTGTAGAGTGGGGAAGGGTTGGAACCTCTTTCAGGTTTTTATTACCAGTTTCCCCGATTGGAGAATGCTCCTCACATCCAGTTGTGTCACCAGAGCAGAAAGTAAGCAGAAAGTGGTGATAAATCTCTCTACTGGTAATAGAGGCAACAATAGAAATCTGACAATTCAAAGTCTTCTTCCTCTATCCAATACAGGAAAGAACTTCAGATATTCTCTTTTCATCTGTCCCCCGCTGGCTCTAAAGGTGAGAACTCAGCGATCACATGACTGCTGATCGCCGAGTTCTCACTGCTGCTCAGAACACAGAGTGGTGACTGTCACTGCCGTCTGCTCTGCCACCCCCCCCATACGCTCAGTATAGTGCTGGGCTGTGGTGGGGGAGGGAGCGGCTGGCTCGGGCTCTCAGCGGATTGCCGAGAGGCTGAGTAAGGTGCCGCTCCAGACTCCTAGGGTGGATCTCTACTTTAAAATCAGGATCTTTACCCAGTCTGGACTGGCTGAGTGGCATCACCCAACAGCAGGCTTCAGCCCGCTGTCAACTAAAAACAGGTCACAGAACTGCAAAATAAATGGCACTCCTGTGATCCACAGGAGAAGTACAACCAAAAGAGCTTGGGCTGTACTTCTCCCTTAAGTTTCAGCTTTTAAACTGGTTACAGAGTTCAGCAGATTCTGGGGAAAAAAAAAAAAAAGTACAAACGCCAGAGCCCTACTGCCAAATAATTTGTCTGCAGCTAGAAATGTGTTTGATTTGGAAGACAAAAATAAACCAGCTGAAAGAGACTGTTTTCATTTTGCTTGCGGAGTATAACAAAAGATTAAAAGGTCCAGTTTGCAACACTTCACTGTTTGTGCAAAACTGTCATCGATACATATAGGATGGCAGGAAACGTAAATATTTAGAACCTATTTACTCAGGGGGAAGAGGATCGGAATTTAACATCCAATTAACCACTTACGTGGTTCCAGACATAAGCCAGGTGGTTGGCCGTTATTTGTGGCTCACTGCTATTGTGACTTTCTCAAGGGATCTACCAAACCCAAGCAGTAAATCAGGCTTGTTACAAAGAGATCAACATATCATAACAAATAGAAAGTGACTGCGGAGAACAGCAATCCAGTAGGATAATGTATTTTGGAACAGTGTACTTCAGAAAAATAAATATATTAGCTTCCATGTACAACACAGTGTATGCACAGATTATGTAGTTTAAAGTGGACCTATACTGAACAATCCCCACCCCAAACCGTGACAATCCTCCCATTTAAAACTGAAGTCTAGGCAGATGTAACAAGCACATATTAATGCGGCTCTGTAATCATTAATACAACATTAAAGCGGAGCTCCAGTCTCCTGTTAAAAAAAATAAAAGTCAGCAGTTACAAGAACTGGAGGAGGGAGGAGAAGTTCTGCTTCCAATCGTCTAGGCAGTCTTAGTGGAAGTGGGTACTAGTCAAAATCGTGTACCCGCTCCCCAAAGGTTCCAATCCTTAACAGGTAACGGGAAAAGTCCTTAAAGTGAAACTTCACCTTTTGGGTGGAGCCCCATTTTTAATGCAAGCACTGTAAATACCTAGCTTTTACCAGGTATCAAAGTCCTTTGTATAGAAGGGCTTGAGTGTGAATGGACAAAGCAGTACAACAAACCAATCAGTTCATGTGAAATCAGGAAGCATGCTGATAGAATAGGGCAAAGCAACGAGAGATGAGCTCAGTGCTGCTTTCACTGTCCAATCACCGGCAGAGACACATGGAAAAGAGCCTGGGATCCACAGAAGTGGGTTTGAAGGATGCAGGCCATAAGACTGAGGGCATCTTGTGGTAGAAAAAAAGTGCTGCTGGGAAAAGCTGTGACTTTAAATTGCATATTGCAAAAAAAGTTATTTTTTTAATTCTAATTCCTTCAATAGGGTAATCATTTCTATTCTTGGCTGGAGGTTTGCTTTAAAGTGGTAGCAAAGTGAAAATCTCAAAAAACCGTTGACAGGCAGGGTTTTTATGATAGAAGAGAGTATAGAAGTCTCATCTGTCATAAATGTCCCCAACCCCGACCTGTCAGCGGGTGACGTGATCTGAGCGCATGGGAGTGACGTCATCTTGGCCCTGTCATTCTAGTGGCCGAGGATACGAAACCCAGAAGGAAGACTGGGTGAAGATGGAAGCTGCAGGAGACCAGGGAGAGCAGTGTCAGCGCAACGCTGGAGGGCTCTGTTTGTAGGTAAGTTTGTCATAATGTACCTATATGCTGTGCATACTAGTACATTATGATTTAAACCTGCCAGAGGACCCATTTTTACCTTTATTATACAAACATTACTACCGCTTTAAATGACCAATTTGTAAAATTACTGCTAAAATAACTTGCGTTGAAATCACTGCCCCAGCCCCCCCCCCCCCCCCCCCCCCCCCCCCCCCCGGCCCCCCCCCCCCCCCCCCCCCCCCCATGCTGCTGGTTTTGTGACACATTGTAAAAGCATTCATGTGATAAAAATTCAGATAAAGCTGCAGCTTGGTCACACGACTAGCTAACATGGGCAAATCTGGGTGACATCTCTATTCAAAACTATTTATGTTTGCAATCTCTTGTGTCCCTGCTCAACTTCCAACTAGTTACTGGATTATGATGGAGCATCAACACATGGATAAGAGTCTTCCTATTTTCCAACCCTTTGTAAGCTGCGTAAACATCTCCTCAACTTCCAAAATGAGCCCAGATGACAAAATATAAAAGAACCCAAGTTCAGTTCATGCATGTCACGAACCTAAGAAATTAAAAAACAAAAAAAAAAAAACAAATATGCAGAAAACACAGCCACTGCATTCTACATGTCAAAACAAAGTGTAAATGCAGCTTGAATCATATGCAATATCGACTTTTACTATAATGTTCAAGTCCCACCTGCAACTGTATATCTTTCTTGGCAACCCATCACATTAGAATACTAATAGGAAATAGTGAAAAATGAGAGTGGTTGGGGCTGCTATCCATGTGTGTGTTTACCAGCGCATTCCCACGTAGAGCCACTGATTTCTATTGGGAGCTGTATGCAACACCTATGGCTCCCCATGTGGGAAATACAATGGACTACATTATTTCATGCCATGCTTTGTTTTATAATTGCAAAGAAAAAAGTGGCTCTGGTCAGACATTCTGGCCTGTGCTCTCACAAGAGTCTATTTAACGTTCCTAATTCTTATTTTAGACCTACAAGTCAGTTAGTGCCAGTTTTAGAGATGAAGACAGTGGGAATAGCTGAATACTTCAGCCAAAAGAAACTGGGCAGGGTGACACCACTTACTCCACAAAATTTAAAAAAAAAACTCCTAATTGCCCAACTTTCAGCAGGTTTACCCATGCTGTCTGACAGTTATGGGTGGTCCAAGCAAATGCAAGTACCTCTAGCCCACAAGGGACAACAAATTGCCCCGTTATGAGCTGCAAACACATGGTAATGAACTCCCCAATGATTTAACCTTCAACTGTACCTCAGTGATGTCTGAGCGGATTATTGAAGCAGGAAAATTGCTTCACCTACAAACAAACAATCACCAGCCAAAATCCAGTTCCATAAATAAAACGAAGATGGCTGGTCATTTAGTGACTATATCAGTCAGTGAATGCAACTATCATACATCCACTACTATAGATCCTGCCTGGACTACTCTCTGCCACACAGTGCAGCGTAGAATAATAAATGCAAGGAAACACCACAAGACAGAACTTTGGCCAAGGTAACAGCTGCCACTCAGGGCTGAATGCAGTGACTCAGGGCATCCAATCAGATTTCTTTCTTTAGTAATCTCAGTTCTATGTTAATGGTAGCTATTATCTGTTAAACCGATAAGACTGTAGGTACCAGAGCAGACACCTGATGTGAAGGAGGTGATGTAATACTGAAGGAAGAGAGAAAGAAACTGTAGGTACCAGAGCAGACACCTGATGTGAAGGAGGTGATATAATACTGAAGGAAGAGAGAAAGGAACTGTAGGTACCAGAGCAGATACCTGATGTGAAGGAGGTGATGTAATACTGAAGGAAGAGAGAAAGGTACAATAGGAAAACTTGCAAAACAATTTACTCACTGTATGAGGTATATATGGTAATCCATAAAACTTCTCCTGTGTTTCCCTTAAAATGTCTGTTGTAGAGCTTTTGAGGGGGTGCTCTCCATGATATACTTGATCCAACATGGAATAGAAAACCTAGAGAAGAAAATGTACTTAAAAAAAAATGTTTCTCATATTTTGGTCAATTTTTCACCAACTTCACGAACATGGTGTTAACATTACTGTATTACAACTTTGCTTAAAGAGGATCTATACTGTAGAGCAAGTTGAGGGTAAAATATTAATCACTGGAATTGCTTGTAGGCTTCCTGCAACTGAGGTTTTTTTCCCCATTACTGACATATATCACACTCTGTCTATCAAAGGGTGTGAAAATCTTGAAGGGGTAGAAGAGTAAGGCTTTGCTTCATCATGTCAAATCTGTCTCCATGATAACTGGTGGAGCAACACCCAGATTGCAGAAGTGGAATTGGAGCAATGATCTACAAAATTAATAAAGTGGGAGCAGGGAGATCCTTCCACTGCAAGTCTCTCCAGGTACAGCCTTCTCTCCAGCAAGGAGAAGAGTAAACAGCATAGTAGATCTGACCAAATCTAGCTCCAAATCTCATAGTAACAGAAAAAAAAATTATAACAAAAAGAAAAAAAAATACATGTTCATGAGGGCAGCCTTTGCTCATTATACATACATGCTTTTTTACTGATTGTTTAAAGAAGCATTTCTATGGTTCATTCTGATCTGACAATATAGTTTAAAGCAAGCCATACACATGGAGCTGAAGGAGAGAAAAATATAAATTTCCCATCCATGAATAGACTGAGAAATCTTCCCTGCCAGCTATGATGAATATTGGAAAAGGCGAACGGTGACTGCATCTGATCGATTGCTATCACTGTTCAGCCAACAATTTTGCATCTGGCCTCCTATTTTTTTTACCAACATTCAACACTCACAGCACTCACATTTGATTTGGCCCAAGCTCAAGCTGTGCATGGCCAGCTTAAGTTTAAATACCTTAATAGCCTATTAAGCAAGTCTGTCCTGAGGTAAGAATAGTGCTTGCCATTGCTTATACTTATCTGTAAATGCAAGTAGGCTGGCTGTCAAAGTGACCCTGTGGATCTGGCTTTCAATGTGATAGTCTAATGTATTCTGAGTCACTAACCCCTAAGGCTATGTTGACACTAGCCTCCTACATTTGGCTTACTTAAAACACTGAGAAACAATCTAGGGAGTATAAACAAAACTTTATGGTTTCCTAAATTGAGTTCTCATGTTTTTACACGGGTTTCCATACTTTCAGATGCATTCAGATTATCCAAGCTGTCTCCAGAAACATACCAAAACTGGACAGTGCAACATCTGATGCATCTCTATATAGAAACCAAGCTTGCAGGTTTTATTGTCAAAGCTTAATTGAGCAAGCTGAAGTTAGAAGCTGATTGGCTACCATGCACAGCTGTACCAGGTTCAGAGTGCTCCAGTTTTAGTAAATCTCCCTCAAAGGAATTCTACTTTCTGAAGGCAGCTAAACTGAAAGCACCTCAACACTACTAAATTGTGAATTATACCTTTTAAAATCATTACATGAATAGATATGTGTTTAGAAATGTACTATGAGCAGATATAAATGAAAGCGTTTCATTGCCATTGTGAATGAGGCCTAACAAGTAAGCAGATCAGAAGTTTTAACTTCACTGGCTACATGCTTGCTCTGACTGACTCAGCAAGTACAGAATCTTGTGACAGCCAGCTAGCCTGAAGGTTTCTGCAGCACACATTCCCATCAATATCCATAGGTCTAAACATGTACAGGAAGCTTAATGAGTTTGTGGGTAAAGGCTGAAAGAATAAGATACCTTAGGGCAATCACATCATGCTAGCATATTTAACCTCTGAAGTCTGCAGCCTCCTTAAGGTCACAATATATCTTTAGCGCTTTGTAGCGCATTTCATTTTTTTTGTTACAGGATGGATAGGTAACTGCAGTTCCCCTCTGGTCATCTTTAACTACATTGTGAAATATTCACTGGTCACAAAAGGTTAAATGAAAGGATTATCCATACCTGAAGCTGCATGTCCGAAGCTGCACCAACCTTTTTAGATTCGCATAGACGAGATACCATTGGTTTGGATAACGGCTACAATAACAAAATAAAAAAACAATTAGGACTACTTTAAATAAAGGCAAACTTGCAAATCCAAGAATGTACAAGATACATCTTCAGGGACAGCCAGACAACTGCCACTAAGCCATTTAAACTGAACATACTGTGGTTTATCTATGGGGACTGGGAGAGGTCATAACTCATATTACCTACAAAGTACTCTGCTGGTGAAATCTGGTATTACAGTGAGTAGCTCCAAAGACTTTGTTAAATGGTTTATAGGAGAAATGGACCCCAGAGCGAGCACCTGTGAGTTGCAGATTGCAGAGGTCTTCATTTTTTGTAAGTACTCAACTAACATAACTAAATGGCTAGACAGAAACTTGCTAATGTAAACAGCCGCATTTATCATAAAACACTAACGGCCCTATGTCTGTGCAATGAGTTATGGGAGACACACTACCAAAATATGTTAAACATTTTAAGTATTTACTTTTTTTTTTTTTTTTCCCTGCCAACTCTGGACCATGAAAGTTAAAGCATACAGCAGGAGATTATTATTATTATTATTATACAGGATTTATATAGCGCCAACAGTTTGCTCAGCGTTTTACAATATAAAGGAGACCGTACAATTATAATACATTTCAGTACAGAAGGAATGTGAGGGCCCCGCTCGTGGAGCTTACAATCTAAAGGAAGGGGGAGGTGATACAAAAGATGATAGCTGCGAGGGATGATCCGGTGGAGGCGATTCCAGTACAGTTCTTAGGTGAAGGTGGGGTAGGCTTCCCTGAAGAAGTGAGTTTTCAAAGATCGCCTAAAGGCAGACAGGGTGGGGGCCGACCGGACATACTGTGGTAGGGAGTTCCAGAGGATGGGAGAGGCTCTGGAGAAGTCCTGGAGGTGAGCGTGGGAGGAGGGAATGAGGGAGCTAGAGAGGAAGATGTCTTGGGAGGAGCTGAGTGGGCGATTTGGCCGATATCTGTGGATGAGGTCTGTGATGTAGCTAAGGGCAGTGTTGTGGATGGCTTTGTAAGCTGTGGTTAGTATTTTGAATTTTATACATTGGGTTAGTGGAAGCCAGTGAAAGGATTGGCAGAGAGGGGCAGCAGTCGCTGATCGGTTGGTAAGGTGTATGAGTCTAGCAGCAGCATTCATAATAGACTGAAGGGGGGATAGCCTGTGTAACGGTAGACCAGTGAGGAGGGAGTTGCAGTAATCAAGGCGGGATATAACCAAGGCGTGGATAAGTTGTTTTGTGGTGTCATTGGTCAGAAAGGCGCGGATTTTGGAGATGTTCCAGAGGTTGAGGTGGCAGGATTTAGCCAGTGAGTGGATGTGGGGCCCAAAGGAGAGATCAGAGTCTAGGATTACGCCTAGCACCCTGGCAGGAGGGGAAGGACCAATAGTTGTACTGTTGATCTTAATGGTAAAGTCATGATTTGGGGATCGGGGTGGAGGAAATATTTACAAGCTCAGTTTTTGAAAGACTGAGTTTAAGGTAGTGATGTGACATCCATGCTGATATGTCGCTCAGTAGATTTGTGATACGTGAGGAGATTGAGGGGGTGAGCTGGGGAGTGGAGAGATAGATCTGGGTGTCATCAGCATAGAGGCAGTATTGGAAGCCATGGGAGCTTATCAGTTGGCCCAGGGAGGAGGTGTAGAGAAAGAAAAGGAGGGGCCCAAGGACAGAACCTTGGGGCACCCCAACAGAAAGAGGAAGAGGAGGAGTTGTATGTGACACTGAAAGTGCGCTGGGAAATGTAAGAGAACCAGGAGAGAGCAGAGTCACGGAGGCCCATGGAGTGGAGTTTACGGAGGAGGAGCGGGTGGTCGACTGTGACAAAGGCAGTGGAAAGGTCAAGGAGTATGAGTATGGAGTAATGGCCGTTGGTTTTAGCAATTAGTAGGTCGTTAGTGAGTTTTAGTAGGGCAGTTTCTGTGAAATGTTGTGGGCGGAAGCCAGACTGTCAGGGATCAAGAAGGTTGTTGTCGGTGAGGTAGCAGTTCATACGGTTGTGAACAAGGCGCTCGAGAAGCTTGGAGGCAAACGGGAGCAGGGAGATGGGCCTTAAGTTATTCAAACAGGTGGGGTCCAGCGAGGGTTTTTTGAGAATGGGGGTAACTAGTGCATGTTTGAGAGGGGAGGGGAAAGGTGCCCATGGAGAGTGAGAGGTTGAAGATGTGGGTTAGAGAGTTTAGGACAGAGCAGGAAGGAGGCTGCAATAGTCGTGAGGGGACAGGCCAGGGGACAGGCGGTGAAGTGGGCCTTGGAAAGGAGTTCGGTAACTTCCTTGGTGGTAACAGGGTCGAACGAGGAGAGTGTTGAGTTTGGTGTTTGGGCTTGGTATGTTGGTTAGAGGAGGAAGCTTGACACTGGAGATCTCATCATGAATTGTGTCGATCTTCTTCTTGAAGTGACTGGCAATCTCCTGTGCAGTAAGTAAGATGGTGGGTGGAGGCAGTGGGGGGGGGGGGTGGAGTAAGGAGTTAAGGGTAGAGAAGAGTTTGACGAGGATTGGATGAGGCTGGAGTTGTATTTGAGAAGAGCGGATTTGTAGAGGGTAAAGTCTTTCAGGGATTTAGTTTTACGCCATGCTTGCTCAAGAGTGCGGCTGCGTCTCTTGAGACTTCTGGTGTCATCTGTTTGCCAGGGTTGTGACAGGCGAGGCCTGGTTCTGTGTGTAGAAAGAGGGGCAAGGGCGTCCAGGGAGGATGATAAATAGTTGTTGTAGGCAGCTGTGGCCAGCTCTGGGCAGGACAGGGGTGCAATTTCATCATAGAGGCGCTCAGTAGCGGAGTGAAGAAGGTCAGGGCTGTGGTGGTGGAGGTTTCTACAGGTAACGGTTTGCTGGTTGGAGGCATGGGAGGTAGGAGGCAGGGAGAGTGTGAAGCTGATAAAGTTGTGATCAGAGAGACGAAAAGGGGTGTTAGAGAGATTACATGGAGTGCATAGGTGGGAGTATACAAGGTCAAGGGTGTTTCCCATTGGAGTGGGTGGTGGATTGTGACCATTGTGTTAGGTTAAAAGAGGAAGTTAGGTTTAGTAGTTGAGAGGTGGCAGGGGTGTGAACATTGACTGGGATGTTAAAGTCACCGAGGATGATGGCAGGCACCTCAGAGGAGAGAAAGTACGGTAGCCATGCTGAAAAGTCATCAAGAAAGCGTGAAACTGGGTCCGCGGGCCGGTAGATGACTGCGATCCTCAGACAAACAGGAGAAAAGAGATGAATACAGTGCACTTCAAAAGAGTGGAGGGACAGAGACGGAGGGGCAGGAAGAACCTGGAATGTGCTTTCTGGGGAAAGAAGTCGTCATCCGACTCTGCCCCCTTTTCGTCCACTGGGTCTGGGTGAGTCCAGAGGAGGCCACCATGAGAGAGTGCAGCTGAAGAGACAGAGTCAGAATCCTGGAGCCAGGTTTCAGTAATAGCAAGTAGGTTGAGGGAGTGGGAGAGGAAGAGGTCATTGATAGTAGAGAGTTTGTTAGAGGCTGAACGGGCATTCCAGAGGGCACATAGGAGGGAGGGGTTGGTGTGTGGAAGCAGGGGAATTGAGATGAGAGAGTGAGGGTTGCGGCTGCGGCCAGAGAGGGGAGGCTGCTGCTTCTGTGGGTTGGAGTTTGATGGTGGAGGGCCAGGGTTTGGGCCAATGTCTCCAGAAGTTAGTAGCAAAAGATGGTGAGGGAGGTGAGGTGGGAGCGAGATTTATATGAGGGCAAATGCTGCTGTGATTTTGTAGCGGTGACATTATGTGGACCAAGAGAGAGCAGGAGATAAGTGCAGTGATATTGAGAGGGCAGGAGTGAGGTTGATATGTACAGGTTGTGTGGTGGGGAGGAGGGGTAAACAAGAGAGTTTGAGAAGAGGGCATTATAGCAACAAAGAGTTAGCAAGAGCATGCTGGAGAGAGGAGAAATAACAAAGGAAACAATGGGAAGAGGTAAGAGGGAAGAGCACATGCAATCTACTTGAGGCAGATCTTGAGATACTTGAGATGGCAGATCTATTGCATGTGGCCACCTAGGCTTACTCAGCAGACTTTACAATGAGAAGAGAAGTATGGCCAAAACTTTCTTGGTTATACTTCACTTGTGGATCACAGAATTGCACTCCTGTGACCCAGAATCTGCAGATAGTGGTCTAAAACTCGCAGTTGGCTGTCATCACAGAGTTGCTCCAGACTCTGTATGGATCATGACAATAATGTTGCGGATCCACCTAAGTGCCTGACCCTCAGCTGGCTTAGCCTCTCGGCACACCACCCCCTCCCCAGCTCGGCATTCCAGTGTGTGCTGGAGGGGAAGAGCAAAGAGAGTGGTGACTGAAATCACTGCTCTCTGGTCAGAACGGATCCCAAGAACAGAGCAATCAGCAGCCATGTGATGGTTGGGGACAGTTGCAGCAGGGAGGTGAGTAAGAGAGTGTTCAATTTTTTTGTATTCCCATACTTCTCCTTTAAATAGTACAATTCATACTTTGCCAATACTACACAATTTTATAATGGGACCATGAAGTGTGAAAGGGGTTAAAAATGAAAAGACATTGAAAACTATATGTGAAAACCACAATTTTCTTTTCCAGTCAATATTCCCAGTCTATTATTACCTGTCCAGTCTGGCAATGTCGTGCAAACTGGTTTACCACCCGATAATCACTAGCAAAATATTCCATCAGTATAGAAGGTACTTCAGCAAAATCTGTAGCACATCTGGTTCCTAAAAAACAGGTAGGGTACAAAAAGTGTTAGTAATTCACAAAGAAGCACTTCTTATGCTGTACACAAGCAAACAGCTGATTTTTAAAAAGTTGCCGATAATGATAGTTGACTTCAATGCAAAATTGCATCCCATCGACATCAATGCAAAATCACCCCCCCCCACTGACTTCAATGTAAAATCGCATCTATTTAAGTTTTTAACATTTTATACACATTTCATTTTCTGTGTGTTACTTTCAATAAAAGTTATTGTACATTACTGGATTGTTTTTTTTTAAATCAAGTACATACTGAATTTTTGGTTTCAGTCCAGAATTTTCATTTCATTGCACCACCAAGTGACAACTTAAGAGGTAAACCAGTTCCATCACTGGCTGTTAAATTGTATCTAAACCCAAAACCAAAATTTAGTATATTGCATGCTTAGTAGCCAGGGGCAGCACAGCAAGGGGTAGCAACTATCTTCTTGGCTAAAGTATTGATCGTGGCTTAAGTATTGAGCATTGCACTTTGGCTCTGCATCATCTGAATAACTATTCTCTATCCCATCACAGGTAAATGTCTGCGAGCAATATTCATCTGTACTATCACCCATGCCATGTATAAATGCTAATTCACCCTGCACGGCTATATGGTAAATGTCTGCGAGCAATACCCATCTGTTCTATCACCCATGCCATGTATGAATGCCAATTCACCCTGCACTGCTATATGGTAATCTATACTGCTTTTAAAATCCACCTCTAACGGAAGCTGATTCATAACTATCAGTGTTCTTATTGGTAATCCTTATTGCTTACAAAATCTCTAACTCTGTCCATATTACTGTGGTGATTATTTTGCTCTTATTGTCTAATGCAAATTTATGAGCTGATCCTAACCTTTACAACTCTGCCCTCCTGCTCTCTTGTTGTCTCTTGTAGTCCTCCTTTGGTGTGAGATGTTTACCCTGCTAGCCATGTGTCTCTGCTATAAATTCGTAATTGATAAATTGGCAATACCCCCACCCAACTCAGTATAAATGTAGGCCTTCCTTAGGGAAGGCACAGCCAGAGGCAGCATTGTCAACTATCATCTTGGCTAAAGCATTGATTGTGGCTTAAGTATTGAGCAGTGCACTTCGGCTCTGCACTTCAGCGTATGCACAAAGCGAGAAACCACAGCAGACAACTTCAAATACTAATCAGAGTACAGGTGACCCGTTTTCCCCATCCAGCTCTTATCCAGTCTGCTTCTTCATCTTACCACTCTAACACGCACTCCCTACTCCTCCTTCTCACAGTTGTATCCTCTCTTCAAACTCTCTCTCCTTCACCCCTCTTCTCCATTCCACAGCTTATATATATCATCCTCACTCCTGACTTCACCTTATCAAACTCCTGCTAATTCTGAACCCGCATACCAAAAAAACCTCTAGGACACTGGGACATGTCCCTCCATATAGGTCATACTCCCATATTACCTCTCTCACCCTTCTGCTTCTCCTAACATTTGGAGATATTTCCCCAAATCCAGGACAGCCATGTTTTTCTTTTGACCAGTACACCTGGCACACCCTATCCTCTAACAGTGGCCGCAATCCACACAATCTGGTTACTATTCCTCTTCTTCCTAGAACCAGCCTCCCCTTTTCCTGTGCCCTTTGGAATGCCTGCTCTGTCTGTAACAAACTCAACTCTGCCCAAAATCTTTTTATCACAAACTCCTTTAACCTGCTTGCAATTATGGAAACCTTGCTTCATGAATCTGACTTTCCCTCTCCTGCTGCCCTCTCCGATGGTGGTCTCCTCTGGACTCACTCTCCCAGGCCTAGTGGACGGAAGGTAGGTGAAACTGCTCTCCTAAAACTGACAAACAACTTGCTAACCGCTAAAACTAATGGTCACTATTCCTTACTCTTGGACCTCTCCGCTGCCTATGACACTGTTGACCACCCCCTCCTCCTCAAAAAAAACCTCTATTTACTTGGTCTCCGTGACTATACTCTCCATTTGTTTGAATCTTACCTATCTCACTGCACCTTCAGTGTCACTTATAACTCTACCTCCTCCTCTCACTGTCGGGGTCCCCCAAGGTTCTGTCCTTGGAACTCTCTTATTGTTGATCTACACCTATTCCTTGGGTCAGCTGATAGCTTCCCATGGTTTCCAATACCATTTCTATGCTGATGACACACAAATCTGTCTCTCTACTCCTCAACTCGCCCCATCAGTTTCCTCACGTATCACCGATTTACTAACAGACATATCAGACTGGATGTCACACCACTTCCTAAAACTCAATCTATCCAAAACGGAGCTCATAATATTTCCTCCCCCACATGCCTTTTCCCCTGATTTCTCGGTCAGGATCAATAGCACCACTATCAACCCATCCCCGCATGCCAGAGTGCTAGGGGTAACCATGGATTCTTAACTATCCTTTCAGGCCCACATCCAATCCCTGTCCAAATCATGCCTCCTCAACATCTCCAGAATACGCCCCTTTTTAACCAATGATACCACAATGCTCCTAATTCACTCCCTGGTTATCTCTCGCCTTTACTACTACAATTCCCTCATTGGCTTACCTTTACATAGGCTATCTCCCCTCCACTCCATCATGAATACTGCTGCCAGGCTCATCCACCTTACCAATCGTTCAGTGCCTGCTACCCCTCTCTGCCAATCCCTCCCACTGGCTTCCACTCGCCCAACGAATAAAATTCAAAATACTAACAACTTACAAAGCCATACACAACTTTGCCCCAGCTACATCACTAACCTGGTCTCAAAGTATCTATTAAAAGCTCTCTTCGATCCTCCCAAGACCTTCTGCTCTCTAGTTCCCATGTCACCTCCTCCCATGCCCGCCTCCAGGACTTCTCCCAAGCTTCTCCCATCCTATGGAACGCCCTACCCCAATCTGTCCAACTGTCTCCTAATCTAGCCACCTTAAGACAATCCCTGAAAACTGTTCTCTTTAAAGAATCCTATCCTGCTTCTAACTAGTAAACTGCCTTTTATTTCCTCCATCAGTTCATCCCCTCACAGCTATTACCTTTTGTATCACTCAACCATTCCTCCTAGATTGTAAGCTCTAATGAGCAGGGCCCTCGGTTTCCACTTGTACCAAATTGTATTGTAACTGTAACGTTTACCTTCATTTTGTAAAGCGCTATATAAATCCTGTATAATAATAATAAATAATACTAGTTCCTTATTGCGGCGGCTGCATTAGTTTTCTTTTTTAAAGCTTCTTTTGCTTTATTTTCAGGTAATTCTGAAAATAACACATTTCCCATCCCTGGGTGGCTATGTCACTGTATTTATGGAGGGAGTCATGGTTGTCCCCTCCAGGCTTCTCTAGTGATATGGACTACAAACATATCCATATCTATTCATCTACGACCATGACCCAAACACAAATTTCATCTTTGAATGGCAAATTTAACTAAAGGGCAAATCAGAGCAGCTTATACAAAGAACCAGCATGATGTGTAGGGAAGAGCTTGGCAAAGAATGATGCAGCACATTCGTATTCAGCACAGTATTTCTCGGCATGAAGCTTTGGGTTAGTCAAAGAAGAGAAACAGAATGGCTGCCATGCCTGGCCCTTCTAAAAATACTAGTTTCCTGGCTTTAACACATTTTTGTCAAACTTTGACCAAGCATGTTATAAATGAGTGCCAACGTTACTTGCATCTTTAATCACTCAAGTCAGTAACTTAATAACAACTCAAGCCAAAGTTTCATCATGATAGCCAGGAAAATAACATTCTCAAAAGGCGAGCTTAGCAATAGCAGTCTACATAACCCTCTTATGGCAAGTGTATTGAAATAGCATCAAGGTTAGGTTGAATTTTAAACTGGCACCAAGGGCTCTTGCACACAGGCCACTGGAGCCCATTCAGCATAATTGCCTGGTGTGTTTTCTCCACTCAGGCAGCCCTGATGCAGCAGTCTGTCATTAACATGAACAGCTGTGCATTGCTGTATTTGTGCATACAGCAGTGTTATTGTAAATAGTAGAGTATGAGCATTTGCAAAAAAAATATCTACCTTTTGCAAACACTCAAATGCTGTTTTCGTGTTTACAATAACACTGCAGTACAGCAACGCACAGCCATTCACGTTAAGGACAGGTTACATGCTGCATCTGGGCTGCCTTGGGGACATACGTTGGGCAGCATGCTGAATGGGCTCAGGCAGCTCATGTGCAAGACCTCTTAAAACACATGTAACCCCTAACTTCTCTTATCTGATTGCTTTAATCCACCATTGAAAACATTTTGGTATTTCTGTTCTGTAAGTGCAAACAATACCTGTTTATTCTGCCAGACATCCTGTGAAGCTGCTAATTTCCTGCACACCCTGCTTGTGCTGCACTGATATAAGTTAGCACTGTTCCAAAGTATCTCTGAGGACACTTTAGCTACACTTTAACAGGTAACTGAAATTAAAATTTAACCCCCTTATCAGTAACCCTACTTTTATTTTAGTGATCCATAACACTAAACTAAACTCACCAGCAGTACACTTGTCCTGTCTCGATACACTGGTGCTGAAACCCAATGACCTGAGAATGCTGGGCCTGTAGATAAACATTTTCCCTGAAACTGGTGTAGGAAGGAAGATATTTTTAGGAGTAGACATGAAGTATGCAACTAAAGCAGTAGAGAACAATACAGGCCAAGCAGCAAGTACTGCTGATGAATGCAAGTCAGCAGTAGAAAAAGTCGGACCTGCAACCTGGAAGAGCAAGTATTCCTTCACTACACTTAGAAGTAGATCTAAAGTTTTTATTTTGGACTGTAAATTTTTTGGGCTCCCTGTAAGGGAGGGTAATAAACTATCAGTTTTTTTGTCATCTGTGTCCTATTGGGGATATTTCCTTTCATTTCCTGTCACATGAAGAAGCAAGAGGAAATCCCCCAAAGTGAGGGCATCCCTGGCTGTTACCAGAACTAGTGTCCCCATTGGAAGATATCCCTTTTGTTCTGTGAACAACCCAAAATTCAAAATTTGGGATTTTTTTTTTTTAAATTTATTTACTAACAGTGAGAACAGTGAACATAACAAATAGAGAAGGTAAACCTCCCTAACGAACCACAGACGGCAATAGAGACCTGACAGTTATACTTTAATTGTCCATTTCAGGAAAGGTTACAATATGCTATTTAAAAGGCATCTACAGAAAAACAATCCTTTGCTTTCATGTAAAAAAAAAAAAAAAAAAAAAAAAAGAACGCATGCAAAAGCAAAATTACATCCAATTACATTAGAAAAAGCTACATTTCATATGTAAAAGGACACTTGTTGGATACTAGAAACATTTATAAAAGATCCATTTCTCAGAATCTGAGAAAAAGAATAATTACCATCATAGAGCGTTATTTTTCAGTAATAGGTGGAAATCTTCTATTTGCACAGCTGCAGGAAGATAGGCTTATTAACACAGCTGATCACACCCTTCACAAACATCAGCAGGACACTCCAAAAGTGGCCCAGCATTAAACACTGAGCTAGCTACAGTGCTAAATGGCAATCTTTACTGGTGACAAGCCGACTGTTCACAAGCTGAATATTCCTTATACACATCAGACATTATTGTATCCATGGGATAAGGCTGCTGTTACTTTTTACACATATGCCGACAGTCAGCAGGAACGACCATCCAACAACAGTCTAAAAAGATGCACTGTATGTTGTGACAACTTTCTGCCCCAGTTGAGTCACTTCAGTGGTGGTTGCAGCTTAGGCACATTCTGCCAGATTCACAAAAATCATTTGACACTTATATGCTTGGAAGTGGAGCTTTGTTATGTTCGTTTAAATTAAAGAACCTGTGCTGTGAAACTAAATACAAGAAGCCACATTCCCCTTCCCTTTCCTAAAGCCCAATGCCAGTGAGGGATAACACGCTGCACTGGACTAGTGGAGAAAACAGCATCAACAAGGGACCTGGTATGGGGCTGGGGGGTGACTCAAATAAGTTTTCCTTGCCTGATGAAGACAGTTATACTTATCAGCTGGCAGGGATGTGAAGTTGGGCTGTAATATAATTTACTATATATTCATAAGAACAAAGAAAATATTGTTTTCCCTACTTGAAATGGGTTCATAATAAAACTGTTCAAGCAGCAGTATCGGGAGTATAAACATTAAAGCATACCTAAAGCCAAAAACAAAAATGTATTATATTGCAGCTTACCAATCTTTAGATGTGGTGGCTGCATTTGGTTTTTTTTCACCTTTTTTGGGCACAACTAAAATTTGTGTGTGTGGTTGCACCATACCCCAGTACCCCCTATAACTGGGCTGTGTTGGTCTATCACATAAAATCCCAATAAAATACATTAAGATTTTTGGTTGTAACATGACAAAATGTGGAAAATTTCAAGGAGTATGAATACTTTTTCATGGCACTGTATAGTGTGCTGCATAATATGTCAGCACTGTATGCATAAAAGATACAAAATACACATTAGGATAATTTATTTTTCATACATGTCGATAAATATTCACATCGAAGTGTAATAGCACAAAAAGGAAAAATGATGAGCCCTTGTCTACAACCCCCATACCTAAGATCAGTGTAGTGTTCTTGCCATGAAAGAATTTCTCAAGAGTTTACAGGAATACAACTATTAGCACTTTTACCCAGTTCGTGACAATATGTTAGCAATTGGGAGTAAAATTATGCTGCATAGGAGGCACCAGGAGAAAGGGGAGCTAATGAGTGATAGCTCTGAGAAAAAAAAACCCTCTGCTTCTCCTAACTGCAGTTCAGCTGTGAGAGACATAATGTAGCTTTGGGAGAAGCAGAGATGAAAACCAACCTAGGGAATCTCCCCACTGCAGTGCCTGAGAAATCTGAGGCCAGCAGGCGAATAAAGCCCAAACTGAAAAATCCATTTTAGGTAGCAATGGTCCTTAGTTTTTGGGAACTTGCTTGAGGTAAAACATTTTCTCTCATACTGGATAATATTGTAGTTTTTTTTATTTTGGAAGGACCCAAATGAGTCAGTCAGGAAGCATTTGAGCAGTTTACCATCATCCTTACTTATGCATGCATCCCCAATCTACCTCCCCTATAGTCCTCACCAGTGACATGCTGGTAGCGTGTTCTGCCCAGCATCGAATGCATGGCATGTCCCATCTCATGGAAGAGGTTCTCCATCATACCAGGAGTTAGCAGTGTTGGTAAATTCTTGGTGGACTGTGGGAAATTAAGCATGAGAACCACTACAGGCAGCTGATATTCACCATCTTCTTTAAGCCGGCCTCCTCTAATTGTGAAATGACAGTCCTAATGTACATAACAAAAACACTTTGTAAAAGGACACAAATTAACATGGACTACATTTGTACAAGATTTGGCTTACAAAAAGAGAAATGCGCACTCCTCATCCGCTGCTCCTTGTGTCCGTTCACACATGGAGCCGCAGCTTGCGCCCCCCCTTTCAATGGCTTACAGCTCCCGCTGCAGTCTCAGCCAATGAGGAGAGGGAGTCCCTGGATAGCCGAGACTCCAGTGCACATCGTCGGATTGAGAGGGGGGCTTAGGTGAGTATTGGGGGGGGGGGGGGGTGGGGGGGCCTGCTGCAGAGAGAAGGTTTTTTACCTTAAAAGTTTTTTACCATAAAATGCATGAAGGTAAAAAAACCTTGAGCATTTAGAACCACTTTAATGATTTCTGCAAGCAAAATCTAAGTTATTTCAACAGTTTAATATTCTGGAGTCATCTGGAAGAGGATCTGAGATTAAAGTGTTACTAAACCCAGGACCCTGCATTCACTATATCTGGTTTCCCACAGTACACACAACATGGAAATGCAATTATTTAAGTAAATATAAACTGCTAAATACCTTTTCCCATCAGCAGTTAAAGCTTGTAGGAGGAGTTTTTTTTCTGCTCTAGGAGGATGTGAAACCCCTGATCATTGCCTGGACAGTGCTGATTGGCCCTGTGCTGATCACATGCCCCCCCAAGAAAAAAAAAAACCGCTCTGGCAATATACACCAAACTCAGCATGTGACCATGGGTTCAGTCTGCATCAGGTGGTCATTTCAACAAAAGGAGGGGCAGAGAAGACAGGATCAGACAGCCTTTTTACACAATGCAGAGGATTAACCCCTTAGGTTCCACAATGAGTATAACAAGCATGCTTTACTGCATACACAGACTGATTTTACTGTTGTGGGCTTAGTAACACTTTAATTAAGACCTTGAGCAGTATCATCTTATCTTCTGAAATACTTAAACACATGGCTTCACTATCAAATGTGTTGATGATGGATTTTCCAGTTTGCCTGTAGAATTAGACAGGGAAAGTGTGACTCATAACAAAGAGACCTGCACCACTGCTGTTTTTCTGGGTAATACAGCTAATAGCACGCACCTTGGTGCAAAACTAGACAACTATAAAATTTTTACAAAAAGAAAACAATTTTAGTGCAAAGCATTTTACTTACAAGTCAAATAATAAAAAAAAACTAGAAAAGCTACAATTCCTGGGGAAATTGTGTGCAGTGTTCTTGCCTCCACCAGTAGTCTACAACTGGAGTGGGCGGAGTAACTGTTGTGTGGATGGAGTGGCTGGAGTAACTGTGAAAAGGTTGGACTGGGCAGAGCAACTCTATGGAGTGGGCAGAGTAACTGTGTGGAGTGTTTGGAGTGAGTAAAGATAGTAAACGTTACAATAACCAGTTGATTGATCAAATTTAAAAAGTGCAGATGGCAAGCTTGATAGAGTGAGAAATGCATTTCAACTTTTATTTTTCAGCTCACACTTTAGCTTTTGTCACTCTGCTGCTTGCTCACACACCTGGGTTCCTATGGCAACTCACTCTACAGCAAGGGTAGAGAAGAGCGGTTAAAAACAAACTGCTCCAACTTGCTCACTTCACTGGTGGTTGCCATCTTCAAACGGTTGTAGTTTAAAAATTATAAATCCTACACTGAAGAGCTTTATATTGTGAGAATCACCCAAACCTATCTTTTGATGCATAGTATGTCTCTGAAATATTAAAAATGAAGGCACAGTCACAGTTTAGAAATTGCCCTTCAAATTTAGGTGGCCAGAGTGGAGTTTCAATGAATGTCAATGGGCGGCGTGAGTTGCAAACAAATGGTCATATTTTGAAAACTATCAGGACTATGGCTTAGCCTTTGACATTTTTAGTGGCAGCAGGGATAGCTGAACGTTTTGATATAAGATTTGTGTAGTTGGGCTTGAAAATGAGGGGAGTGATGGCAGTTTAGAAATCATGTCCTGATTTTTCAGCTCACACTCTAGCTTTTGTCAGCTCCCACTCTAGTTTTGAACATTCCGCCATTCATTCCTATGGGACCAATTTCACCACAAAAACGCTGATATTTCATGAACCATTCGGCAAAACGTTCCACAAAGTAATAGCACACCAATCGGGAACAATCCGCACGTTTCAGTATATTACTTTCTATGTAGTGTAAAAAAACTGTGGAGGAGTTAGGGTGGTAAATTTGGCTATAATAATAAGAATATATATGTGAGATAACAGTAAGTGGTCTTTCCATGCAAGAACACTTAAATAAAGCTCAGTCCATTTAAAAGTGATGATTCAGTTAAAGGTAGAGCCTGGAAGAATAACTCATCCACTGGCTTCTGATATCTATTGGCAACACAAGTGGAGGAACTCATGCCAGAGGTTCTGTCCACCTTGAACACCTTCCACTTCTTTATTTGCCTTCACCATGGTATAAATGTTCAAAAACCCAAGAGGGAGAGCTGGACCCCCTTGTCATGTCTGCAGCTGACATGCAGACCTGGAAACTCACGTGCAACATCTCATCACTACAGCCCCTGAGAGATACAGGAAACCTTTTGGTGTTTTAATAGTATGGCATGTCTCACAAACGTAAATGAGAGTTCTGTATGGATTGACCCTATAAGCTATAGAACAATTACCTGTGGAGGTTTTTCTGGCCGCTGAAAAAAGTCGCAATAAATATAACCAAGTAAGCCTTCATTTTCATGTACAACCGCCTAGCAAAAAAAGAAAAAAAAATGCTTTTAAGAAAGTTGGATAGATGATTCCGTGTTTGAGCCATCCATGCTAAACCATTGGTCATCAATCCATAAAACAATGATACACGGGTTTCAGTCCACTGTTCCACTGTGATGGAGGCAATGAACTGTAAGTGTACTGGAAGTATCTTTTGCATTAGAAATGCAATACTATACCTGAGCATTTTTTAGTGGAGTTCATACTGGGGCCTTTTGCCCACTTCACCGTACCATGACTGCTCATATGGTCTTAGACAATGGCACAGACTACATTTTACAAACAAAACTATTATTTCCTGGCTGCTGTACAAAAAAAAAAAAAAAAAGACATTTTTGATGTCATTATATTTTATTCTTTGTGCTATCCAGACCTAGCAGACAGTTTGGCAAAATAATTATTTTAGACTTTCTAAATTGTTTAAAGGGGGAACTGCTTTTGTAGCCCATAGCTAACAAGATTCTGCGAATACAAGATGAAGAGGGGCAGCTGTTCCTACTATTCCATTTATAGCTCTTACTGACCAAAAAGGTTGACAGACTTGAATATTCATACAATCAGCTTGTTTATGGCTAAACTTGTGAGCATTTATACCCATAGATCTTCCTGGTAAGATAAAAATCCCCTGCCCTAGATTTTTTCAAGGCAGTCACTTGGTCAGATTGGATTCCCACCCCCACAAGACTGGTGGAGCTCTGGGATTACTGTAAAGTGTTCCCTCTTTCCTTTCCTCAAATACAAGTAAACCCAATACATTTCAAAACAAGAACATTATTAATGTATTGACAGAAAAAGCCAATTTTATCCATTTATATGTAGGTAAAATGTATGTAAAACTAAACATTTTCTATTATGCTTTAATAAAACAAATTGAGTTTTGTTTTACATCTACTACAGTTACTGCAAAGGAGAATAAATGAATGCCAAATTCATGAGCAAGACGGGTCGAATAAATGCACCTACAGGCTTTTTTTTATTTAAAACCACTTCCTGACCGGACACTTTTACCCCCTCCTGTCCAGGGCAATTTTCAGCTTTCAGCGCTATCACACTTTGAATGACAATTGCGTGGTCATGCAACACTGTACCCATGTGAATTTCTTACCATTTTTTGAGACAGATAATGCTTTATTTTGGTAGTATTTATTCATCGTTGGGATTTTTATTTTTTTTTGCTATGTAAATGAAAATGTCCAAACATTTTGAAAAAAAGTGTTTTTTCTTATAAAATTTTGCAAATAAATAATCTTTCATCATAAATCTTGGCCAAAATGTATTCCGTTATATTTTTAGTAAAAAAAAAAAAAAAAAGCCAAATTAGTTTATAACCAAAAATTATAATTTTTAAACATTTTTTTTTACATTTTTATTTTATTTTTTTATATTATTATGTATGGGTTTTTTTTTTTTACTGTCACCCCTAGCAGTACAGTGTCACCATGGTGACTGTACTACTTGTGAGGGGGTGATGAAGATTTTTTTTTTTTTTTTTTTTACAGCGATTGCTTTACACCCATATAGGATGTAAAAGCAATCATTTCTCTTTCTCTCTGTCTGCATTCTTGCAGCCATTGAGAAATACTGAGTGAGCTGTGATTGGTCACAGCTTGTCAAATGGTACAAGGCTGTTGTGAATAGCCTTGTACCATGTGACCTCTGTGATCATTCACAAATTTCACACGTAGTAAGCAATGATGTCACAAGTTACATCTTGGTTACTACTTTGCATGCGATTACTGATTGGCCAATCAGTGATCACATGATCGGGACCTCGTACAGAGGTCCCGTCCGACGATCGGTGTTTCACTGTGTCTGGAGGACACAGCGGGCACCGGATCGCGGTGCTGTGCGCTCCCAGGGAGCGCGCACAGCTAGAAATGGCGGGTGCCGTTTTTTAATGGCAACCCGTCCCTGGAGTGCCACCGTCCTGCCGTTTATAAACAGCAGGCGGACGGCAAGTGGTTAAACAGAAAAAAGGGTTTTAAGTCTTGAGACCTTTTGATTTTAATTTTTTTTAAGTTTATGTTTTAAAAACGGAAGGTCAGAGGACTATAGGCTTTCTAAAGAGCATAGTTAAAACTGTTTGCCTTCAGACACACTTTTTGATTATAGGGAGCCCACTGAATAGGTAGACAGAGAGGGTGAGAATAGTTGTTCTTTCAGTTGCTCTGTTCTTTCAGTTGTGCTTAAATTTCAGCTTTAGCTATTGAGCTCTGTAAATTGGAGAAGCGGATAGGAGTTAGTAAAATATAAAAAGAAGATGAAAAGACCCACCTGCTGGCTGGATAAATTCAAAATAATTATATGCAATATTACGTATTTACTATACAAAAAAAAAGTTTTTTTTAATCTTCACCATAACACAGAAGGCAAAAAGTAAAAAACACTATATATATATATATATATATATATATATATATATTAGTGTCAATCAGTACTTATAAACAATAACCAAGAACACAAACCATAAAAACAATGAGTAAAGTGAATGGAGATACTGAAGTACTTTCAATGAATTAGTTCATAAATTTACAAATATCACATGATCCCACACCGTAACTACAATTCCATGGTGAATGTGAATTTTCATGCTCATAACCGTGCCACTCTGTGCTCACAGAACTCTCACCTCCAACGCATGTAAAAACTGTGTGTTAATATGGTATCTCCACACATCCAGACCTCACGATGTCTCCTTTATCCATTCCTCCTCCCATATAATGGATACTATTAAGATGGTATTACAAATCCTCCATCTCAGTGGATACCAGTCAGCTCCAACGCATGTAACACTTGCATGTATTTAACCACTTGCCCACCGCAGATAGCCGAATGATAGCTTCACTGCGGCCGGACAGTTCTGGGAGGGCATCATATGATGTCCACCCAGAACACGCTCTCCTGCGCACCCCCTGGCGATATCTGTGATCGCTGTGTCCTACGGACAAAGCTGACCACGTGAAATGGTAAAAGGCCAATCACAGCGGATACTATTAAGATATTATAAATCCTCCGTCTCAGTGGATATCAGTCAGTTTCAACGCATGTAACACTTGCATGTATTTAATAGGACATCTCCATTAATTCAGACCTCACAATATCTTATTTAGTTACTAAGGGATCATTCCCTGATGAAGTCACATGACGGTGATGTAACGCGTAGGGCGTGGGCTGAGGCAGTTTGAGCAAGTAAGAGGATCCATAGTTGTTTTAAAGCGCTTGTCATTTTAATATACAATGTAAGTGTGATTGTAATAAAAATTGTTTTTTTATTGACCTACTACACTATATGAGGCATTCTTTCATTTGGATGAGGTATTGGCATCCGATGGAGCAGATGATTTCTATTACCTCCATTATATGGGAGGAGGAGTGGATAGCCCTCTAGTGAGTAAATAAGATATTGCAAGGTCCGGATTTATGGAGATGTCCTATTAACCACTTGCCTAGCGGGCACTTATACCCCCTTCCTGCCCAGGCCATTTTTCAGCTTTCAGCGCTGTCGCACTTTGAATGACAATTGCGCGGTCATGCAACATTGTACACATATGACATTTTTATCATTTTTTTTTTCACACAAATAGAGCTTTCTTTTGGTGGTATTTACTCACGCTGGGCGTTTTATTTTTTTGAGGTTTAAACAAAAAAAAAGAGCAAAAAATTTGGAAAAAAAATGTTTTTCTTTGTTTCTATTATAAAATTTTGCAAACAGGTAATTTTTCTCCTTCACTGATGTGTGTTGATGAGGCTGCACTGAAAGGCAGCAGCACTGCTGGGCACTGGCTGGCGGCACTGCTGGGTGACACTGATGGGCACTGGTGGGTGGCACTGCTGGGCACCGATCAGGGCACTGATCATCAGTGCCCGATGATTGGTGCCGATCCCTCCTCTGACAACTGCCAGTTCTCGGCAGTACTTTCCTCATGCTGTGACAGCATGAGGAAAGTGCAACCTATAACCGGCAATTGCATCTCTCGATGATCAGTGTGTCATTGGACACGGCTGATCACGTGGTAAAAGACCGCTGTGATTGGCCTTTTACCACATCACGTGATCAGCTGTGTCCATAGGACTCAGCGATCACGGAGATTGCCGGGGGACGCGCAGGAGAGCGCGTTCTGGGAGGATGTCATATGATGCCCTCCCAGAACTGGCCGGCCGCAGTGAAGCCATAATTCAGCTATTTGTGGTCGGCAAGTGGTTAAATACATGCAAGTGTTACATGCGTTGGAGCTGACTGGTATCCACTGAGACGGAGGATTTATAATACCATCTTAATAGTATCCATTATATGGGAGGAGGAATGGATAAAGAAGATATCGTGAGGTCTGGATGTGTGGAGATGCAATATTAACACGCAGTTTTTACATGCGTTGGAGGTGAGAGTTCTGTGAGCATAGAGTGGCATGATTATGAGCATGAAAACTCATGGTGTGGGATTGTGTGATGATTGGAAATTTATGAACTCATTCATTGAAAGCACTTTAGTATCTTCATTCACATTATTCATAATTTTTATGGTTTATGTTCTTGCTTATTCATTCACTTTATGATTATGAGCTTCGTGTATTCAGGTGTACTGTTTATTAGTACTGATTGATGTTCTTTAGCAGCGCTACATCACCTTTTCAATTCATTTATTTAGTTGATATTGTGGGAACACAATTGATGTCAGCAGCAGCACTTATTCGTTTGTTTATTCATATTGTATAGTAGGCACAGAAGTTCACTTCACTTATCTATTCCCTATTAGCACCCATGAGTAACGCCCCTTCACTGTTAGCATTTCAAAAGGCTTAGTGAAAATAAAAAAAAAAAATGTATGTATGGTGCCAGCTGTACTTTTACAGGTGCAACTCAGGTACTGGAATATTGCTGGAATGCAGAAGAATTAACCAAAATTCTACAATTGACAAAGACAATAAAATGTTACCAGCTTCCTGATATCTTCGGACCACACTTCTCCCTTCTTTGGCTGCTCCGAATACAGAGAGATGCCAAGGAGTTGGTTAAAAAGAGAATTTAATCCTTCCATGCAGGCACCAAGAGAGAAGAATGGTGAATATAAGCTTGGCTCTATATTATACCTTAGAAAGACACAAAGTTTTACGATCAATGAAACAGACTTTGAAACTATAAATCAATGGGACAAAAAGCAACATGCGCAAAATTCTAATGTATCTAAATGCAAGAATATCTGCTCTGAACCAGGTGCAGAAATAAATTGTAATTTCTGCAACAGATTACATTTTCCTGTACTGAGAAGAGAAGAAAAATGCAACAGATAAGCAACCCAAGGATACATCTGCTTTTCTTAGACCCGTTTGGTTTCCATATTGTGTAGATATTAATGGCAAAACATCCAGTTTGGCAAGAAAGGAAATGCAGACCAATAGAACCCAGAATTTGGACAAAGCAGGACTGGAAAGACTATTTAAGGAGTTTAGTAAGTAAAATCAATCACCTAACAAACTAAAACTCCAAGTCTGTTTAATTGAAGTCTACACCATCTACATTTATCGGAGTTTTATAGAAGTCACTGTAACCAAATACAGCAAACTTTTACAATGTCCTAAGCAGGTCACGAGGATTTCTTAACTTTATGGTAGACAGGGGAGCAAATTGACATTCACTAAATTAAATATTTACATTAAAGCAACTTTGTACGTAGCAGAATCATTGCCACAGTTGTTCCTTACTCACTGGTAAAATGTGGTGACTTTCATTTTATACAATTACATTAAAGGCACCATAGAAATTTATTTTTTTTTTTATGATCATAAAATACAGTGGGAACCATCAAAGGACTCCAAGAAATAGAATTCACAGTAAGTACAAAAATCCCATTTATTGTCTTGTCTCACAGGGTGCCATAGGTAGGTATGATACCCAAATTATCCTGGATTAGTGCCATGAAGCCGATGGCATCATTCGCTTTGATGGGAACATATGACATTGATTCAGGACAGGTGCGATGCAGGCCTGCCCCCAGCATTCAGAAGAGGACAGAAGTCTGGCGCCTCCAGACATGCTCCACCTCTTGCCCTCTACCGCACTGCTGAAGCCAAAAAGTAGGGCTCTGATGTGATGAGAGGACCGTTTGATTGGGGGGGGCAGCTCTGACATATAGCGGGACTCTGATGTAATTCGAGGGTCCTCTGATGTGAACAGGGGCTTCTGAAGTTAATTTCATTGAGACAGTTGTGTGCATCGTCCTAGACTTTAGCATTGCTAATTAACATTTACTTCTTTACAATGCAGACCGGGTTGCCTTGGGATTTTGCCTACTTTAACCACTTCCAGTCCGGACACTTTTACCCCCTTCCTGACCAGGGCAATTTTCAGCTTTCAGCGCTATCACACTTTGAATGACAATTGCGCAGTCATGCAAAACTGTACCCGTATGAATTTTTTACAATTTTTTTTGAGACAGATAAAACTTTATTTTGGTGGTATTTATTCACCGCTGGGATTTTTATTTTTTTTGCCATGTAAATGAAAATGTCCAAAAATTTTAAAAAAGTGTTTTTCTTATAAAATTTTGCAAATAAATAATATTTCATCATAAATCTTGGCCAAAATTTATTCCATTATATTTTTAGTAAAAAAAATAAAAATAAGCCAAATTAGTTTATAACCAAAAATTATAATTTTTAAAATTTTTTTTTTACATTTTTATTTTTTTTTTATATTTTTTTTTTTACATACTGTCACCCTAGCAGTACAGTGTCACCATGGTGACACTGTACTACTTTTGGGGGGTGATGAAGATTTTTTTTTTTTTTTACACTGATTGCTTTTACACCCATATAGGATGTAAAAGCAAATCATTTCTCTTTCTCTCTGTCTGCATTCTTGCAGCCATTGAGAACTACTGACTGAGCTGTGATTCGTCACAGCTTGTCACATGGTACAAGGCTGTTGTGAATAGCCTTGTACCATGTGACCTGTCAGAAGTGACAGCTTACTACTTTGCATGTGATCACTGATTGGCCAATCAGTGATCACATGATCGGGACCTCGTACAGAGGTTCCGTCTGACGATCGGCGTTTCACTGTGTCCGGAGGACACAGCGGGACACCGGATCGCGGGGGAGCGTGCACAAACAGGGTGCGGGGAGGTCGTTTATAAATGGCCACCTGACCCTGCAGTGCCACCGTCCGGCCGTTTATATACAACGACCGGTCGGGAACTGGTTAAAGGGAGCTGCAACTAAAAAAAAAAAAAGGGTTGCGAAACACAGGGTTAAGCTTTACCGCACCACTTAGAGGAGTCTGGGTATGGCTTCTAAAGCCCAGCTGTGGACGGGATGATCCTGATAGGTGAATATAGAGACCTGCTTAGCAGCAATGTAGCAGGAATCTTGATTGAAGGAAAAACAGTAGCTAGTAAAATAGGTTAGAGTTTTCTTTTCCTGATGCATGCTGGAAGGAGGACGAGTTATACAGGGCTGTTCCATAATTTGTTTGCCATTGTCTAATCCTCCTGTAGGGATTCTTGTGTCCCTCAGTGGACACAAGAAAGAAACATATTTCTTTTGCATCTCACATGCATGTCATTATCTCACCATATGAAGGCTAGTTTTCAGCTTCCCAGTACCAGTTGTAAGAGTATCAACATTGACTGTCATAATAATTACAGCTAGTCTGTTGCCCAGGCTTCTGGTTGGCAGGAGACAGCCTCAAGATGTTTGACATCTGTGCTACTTCTCTCTATGCTTGTTCTTTTCAGCTAGTGCCAGGAAAATAGATATCTCTCCCTTATATTGTGAGCTCAGAATTCCATCATTACAAATGGTCAAACAGACTTAAAAGAAAACCTAATGTATTCAGACTATAAAGATTCTTTTTAACAGATACTATAAGTACACATTATTCAAATAATACAACATATACTGTACATAGCACAAACCTAATTCTACCACAATTTAAAGTCCAATAATGGTAAGCCAAAAATCACACAGAAAAATCAGCACAAGGGACATAACTTAAAATCATGAACGGACGAGAGACACCGCACACCAATAGCTCAACAGGTGGAGAGGAATGTGAATGGCCTTAGCCCGAAACTTCTCCTAAGCCATGCCCCTCTGATGCATGTAGTACAGTTTTTATGAATAAAGAAGCTGGGATAAAAAGGGAGGGCGTAGTCAGGCTCTCTTGATGAGAGCCTCTTACAGCCCGTTGGTTGCCCACACCAGAAGATTATGGCAGCGGGGGGCGTGTGTATGTGTGGTTTGGAGCAAGAGTTTCACTAGCAGAAGAGGAATTAGCATCAGGGACCAATCCTACTGACTGTAAGTTATGTCCCTTGTGCTTATGTTTCTATTTTTGATTTTAGCTGCACTTAGGCTTTCATATTGACCCATGTGTAAAATATCACACAATGTTTGCTTAGCTAACACACTCAGTTCAACCTGTGTGTTCCCCTGGAACACGGTCTTCCTTTATATTTTCTAAAAACAGCCAAAAAAAAAAAAAAGACCACAGTTCTGTCTACATGAATATTATTGATGATTACTGGCATGCCATGGGAACAAAAAATCAGACCAATGAAGCAGTAATCAAAGCATTTGAAAGTACATACATATTTTCCTATCCTATTTACAAAATTTGAAATTATATAAAGATATAAAAGCTACGTTTTCCCATTGCAGATGCTTCAGCGAATGTCACCCTGCCAGGAGAAAAATATTTCTGTGAACAATTATGAGATTTATCACAAATGTGATAAGATATGATATAGATGAGAGATTTGATGAACTCAAGGGTAATAGTTGTAAAAGCAAAGAAAGTTATAGCAAATACATAAGATTTACAAAACAAAGGTTCCCAAACCACACCACAATATGTTAAAGTAGATGTAAAACTAATCACAAAAATTCTCATAACCTTTAAAGTGTATTAGTTTGTTTTTTTTTATGTTTTTCACAAACATAATCAAAATGCTTTTAATGGTATATTTAACAGACTAAAGGGGAGCAAAAAGTGGAAGTTCATGGTTAGAGTTTAAAATGGCACTGTAATTAAAATGACAATGTTTGCAACTTCCATTGAAACAATACCTGGTAATCCCAGTGATTCAGATACTTCCTGTTGAAAAAATGACAATGCTCTATCCCTGTCTTCTAATAGCTCACCCTGTCACATGTTCTTTCATTGGAGATTAGAAGTGGTTGGACCAATGTTCACTGCCCAAGCATTTTCTGCCATCAGAAAATCTGCCCTGAACAATGACATGCAGCTGCTGCTGGAATACATGCACGTAGACAGGAAACAGATGCAAAATGTTGGAGGCGATCAGCACCACAGATGAAAAAAAATGATTAGCAAAAGGTAAAAAACACAATTTTATTCAAAAAACAAAAACACACAGCAATTGTGTCTCATATACTGTGCCTATAAATTAAATGGTATCCAGCTAGGACAATGCAATGGACAACATTCCCTATGCCTTCCTTCCAGAGACGCAGCATATGTCCAGTAAAAGAAGCCATATATACAGCGGGTAAAATAAGTATTGAACACATCACCATTTTTCTCAGTAAATATAGATATAAAGCGTCTAGAATGGCCCAGCCAAATCACCTAACCTGAATCCAATAGAAAATGACTGGAAAGAGCTAAAGGTCAGAGTTCATAGAAGCCCACGGAACCTTTAAGATCTGAAGTCTGTTTGTGTGGAAGAATGGGCCAAAAATACACCTGAGCAATGCATGTGACTAGTTTCTCCATACAGGAGGCATCTTGAAGCTGTCATTACCAAAGGATTTTGTACCATGTATTAAATAAATGGCAGCGTGTTCAAGACTTTTTCCCTGTGTCATTCCATTTTAGGACACAAACCTAAAGTGTTACTAAACCCAGGACCCTGCATTCACTATATCTGGTCTCCCACAGTACACGGAAGTGCAATTATTTTAGTAAATATAAACTGCTAAAATACTTTTTCCCCATCAGCAGTTAGAGTAGTCTTGTGACTTCTAGCAGTGTTCAGCAGAGCACATGTTAAAACTTGTAGGAGGAGTTTTCATTCTCCTCTAGGAAGATGCAGAACCCCTGACCTCTGTCTGGACAGTGCTGATTG